TTACAAGTGAGCACCACACCCAGCTTTTTTTTTTAGTGTTTTTTTTTTGCTTTTGCTCTTGAAAAAGAGCAAACACAAGATCTTGCTATGCAGTGTAAACTGGCCTTGAGTTGGAGATATTCAGCCTCCTGAGTACTGAGATTACAGGCATGCACCACCACGGGCTAGCATCAGTGTGGTATTTTCATACATGTATGTGACATACTTTGATCATATCCATCACCCCTTCCCTCCCTCGTACCCTCTTCCCTCCTTTTTCCCCTTCCTCTTTTATTTCTTTCTGAGACAATGTAGTTCAGACTGGCCTCAAATTCACTATCTAGTCCAGACTGTCCTCCATTTCTGGATCCTCCTGCTTCAGCCTCCTGAGTGCTGGCATTATAGGTATGTGCCACCTCACCCAGACTGATGATCTATATTTTCTAAAACTGCATTTATTTTATATTATTCGTATAATACAAAGTTTTGGGGGGCTGGGGATGTAGCTCAGTGGTACAAGCACCTGCCTGGCAAGTGCAAGGTCCTGAGTTCGATTCCTGGTACCAAAAAAAAAAAAAAAGAGACAAAGTTTTGAAAGCAAAGTTCTTAAAAGAAACATTTCATGGTAACTCTAAAGAGAGATAGTGATCATTACCTCTACAGGTACTTGAAGCTTCCTAAAATAAATGCATGCTCTTTCAGCACTCTGGGAGACTGACGAAGGAGGATCAAAAGTTCCAGCTCAGTTTGGGCAATTTAGGGACTTAGTGACACTATCTCAAATTTTTTAAAAAAGGGGTTAGGATGTAAATCAGTGCAAAGGCCCTGGTTTCAAACCACAGTACTGGGAGGAAATCACACTCCAAGAAGTGTATGTTTGCTCTAAAAATGCTGTCTAAGCTGGGTGTGGTGGCACATGCCTGTAATCCCAGCACTCAGAAGGCTGAGGCAGGAGGATCATTGTGAGTTCGAGACCAGCCTGGGGTACAAAGTGAGCTCAAGGCCAGCCTGAACTGCATAGGGAGACCGTCTCAAAAAATACCAAAAAAAAAAAAAAATGCTGCCTACGGACAATTCCTTACACAGGTGCGCCTCTCTTACAAAATTATTCTAAGAGCCACTATTAGTCCCCTAGTTCAGGGGCTATAAAAATAGAGTAACTTCTAAAACAGGGATGAGTCCTTTCTTTGGACTGTGAGGATGAAATGAATTATACAGATAACTCACTTGAAACAGCATCTGGTGCACAAATACAACCTACCTAAGTCCTAGGTGCGCTAAGGAGTGCCCAGGGGTGAGGAAGGATAGAAGAGACGGAATGACTTTTTTTTTTCTTTAAGATAGAGTCGCACTCAGCAGTTCAGGCTGGCCTTGAACTATGACTTGTGACAATTCTCCTGTCTCAGCCTCCCGAGGGCTGGGATTACAGGTGTGCACTACCACACCTGGCTTCAGGGAGCACACTGTAAAGAGCGAAGAATGCTGAGGCCCACGGCACAGGCTGTATTGCAGGGCTCATGTCCACTGCGGACAGCAGAGCCTGCAGTGCAAGGTCTATTAAAAGCTGCAAAATTAGCAGGGTGCAGTGGTGCGCGCCGTAATCCCACCATTTCAGGAGACTGAAGTAGGAGAATCGCTAAATTCAAGTCTCGCCTGGGCAATTTCGTAAGACCCTGTCCCAAAATTACAAAAAAAAGGACTGGAAATGTAGCTCAGCGGGGCAGGAGCGCGCTCATGGGATCCCCAATACCATTAAAAACCAAAAAACTTCCAGAAATGGGCCCTCGGGGTCCTG